TCGACTTGACTCATTAGCAGCATATTTCAAAATGTCTTCAACTTTTCACATTCTGCATCTTGTCCAATTCTCCTCTTTATATTGAATCCCTTTCCTCTTCCGCTACGCCACATTTCCTCCCTCAACTAATACGCTATACTCCTTCCCCTTTTTCCTTTCTTCACCCATTGCATATGCACCCTCTTATTCCTCCTCGGCTTGCATGATTTCTTTGCAATCCGTCAGTCAATAGATTTCCATTAGCTCATCTCTTCTGCCCATCTATTCACCCCTTTCTATCGCCTCCCAGCTTCCAGTCTCCACTAAGCTTGCGCACTTTGCTCCTTTGAATTTTACTCAACCGTCATCAATCGTCCTGCTTTTCTCAATTATCACCGTTTGACTTATTGCTAAGCCTGTCCCATCTCACATACAGACACGAGCAAAGATTAGCTCTCTTGCTCTCTCTTTACCCCATTACCAGGCTTAGCTAAAAATGTGTATTCTTCATTTTATTACTTTCTCCTTATCGAGTTTTACTGTTCTCTCTCCTCTTGCACCCTCGCGATCACTCCTCCTTCAGTTCGTCACAATTGTCCGTCTCAACTCTGTCTCTCGATCCTCAGCCCAACCAGTCATAAAGCAGGAAACCGATACACACAGCCCACATGCATACATACACACACACATACACACTCAGACGCGTATACACATGCGCTCTCAGCATTAGAGGACCAGGTTGAGGGGCAGTTGCGTGTTGTGATTGGTCGTGAGGCCTATCCAAGTTCGTTGTCTGGGCCCTACTCACGTCTCTGGACGACTGGCTTGAGTCAGTCGACCCGCTAACTCTTGTCGTTTGCCCTCCTGCCTGCCCATCCTTCGATCGGGATCCTATCGCAGGCGACGTCTTGGCTTCGGCTACTCATCCGATCCATTCCGACTTGGTCAAACCTGGTTCGATCCGATCCGATCTGATTCACTCTGATACAATCTCGTGCGATATAATACCATCTCGTCTGCTCCGATCTGATCCGATCCGGTCAGAAAGGATCAGATCCCGCTCTGTCATATCTGATCCTATCAAGCTCGACCTGGTCTGATCCAATCCGATCTGATCTCGCCTGAGCTGACTCATTCTTGTGCTCTTGAATACGATCCTGTCCGACCCGATCGCAGTTCTTTGTCTTGGCTGTCCTAACGCCGACAGGATCGTATGATTGCTGTCGTGTCGCCGTCGCCGTCGCCGTCGCCGCTGTCGCTATCATTTCTTCGAGACGGGGAATTTGATCGTCTCGCCGGTTCGTCAATTCCGACCATGCAAGACGCAGACTCGGGCTGTTCCGACCTTTTGGGTGAGTAGCGATGCCATTTTCACTTTGCCAGCCCCCCTCCCGCCACTATCTCCATCACCGCCACCACCGTCACCACTAGCACCACCATCACTAACTCTACCACACACCTTCCTTGAAATGGGCAACTTCGTGCAAGCGAGGTTGTGACTGTCCAACAGTCGTCGGTGTACCACAAGTCTAAAAGCCTTGGCTCACCCTAATCTGTAGCATTGTTGCGTGATTGTGCGATGTGATGGTCCACGAAACCTTCCTCCTCGGTGTGTGTATGCCTCGAAGATGCTATCTAATTGAAGGACAACGACTTAATCGGCTCAACAGTGGTTTGACTAGGCTTTTGTCATGTGACCCCGTTGCCGGGGCGACCTTAATGAATGCAGCTTTTCCGATGCCCGTTTCCAGCGTCGAATTGGCCATGCGGTGCACGGTTGTGGAGTCTTCAATTTGGTACCAAAGTGTGTCTGATGAGGAGAATCGAAAAGCTCGATCTCATCGGAAGACAACGGCTCATCCTTGCTCGTTTCGGGCTGTAGCAAGCTCAACTTTGGTCCATCATACGAAAAAGTATCAGGTTAATACCGGGTCAAGGAGCCTGGTCGGCATTTTATAATTACTCATAAGTAAAGAAAAAGGAAGCTAGAGATATAAAATGATTTGGTTAGTTCACTTTCGTATTAATTGTGGACCAAAGCTGGGTTTCAAGCAATCTCTTGTTGCATTATTGTTAAGCTTCCATTTCGAATAAAAGTGTTCGGTGAAGAGCTTCAAAGGTCGATCCAAACAGAAGACGGCCTCCAGCGAATTTCTCTTGACAAGCTGCCGATTGGTTTTACTGGTACATTTTTGTTGCTGCTGTTTCGGAGGCAGTCTCCTTTGATTCTGGTGAAAATATGCAAAGCTTTTGTCTTTCATATCACAAATATGATCAAAGCGACATCATCATCCTTACAACCACATTTCAGTTAACAAGTCAAAAAATACTTGCCGGCTCATCCCAAAATGCTGTGTATATATCTTATATCTATGCTCTGTGGTGATGATTTAAAAGTAATTTGGTTAGTTCAAATCATATGTCAATCCCAGAGCATGCAAATGTTTCTGTCTGTATTTATTTATGTGCTCATAAAAAGTACAGAAAAGTGGCCGTAATTAGAACCAAGACAAAAAATACTGGTTAAATTGCCTCCTTTTTTTAGGTGATCGGAGGGGATGATATATATATAAATATATATATATATATATTGTGTGAAGGTGGACAGCAAACTTTTATGGCTGAGAACAGACGTTAAG